GGTACACCTGATGGTGCTGACTGTCTTGATCATTTCGATTTCTTCTTTGCCTTGCCTCCCAGCTATGGATTCCAAAGATGATGGAACAAGCAAAGGGGGGGGGGAAATAAATGAGAAGGCAAATGACCTTCATGACTCTCACGGTCTTTTTACAACAAACAGCTTTGCAATCCCCCGTGATGGTGTGTACCGGTATGCATAGTTACCGGTACTAGTGTGGGCAGCGGGAGCAAAAAAATGGTACTGCTGCTCTAGCTAGCTAGTAGATTGAATCAAAACATTCAATTCGTGGCCTGTGGCCTTAACATAAATCGTAAATTATGTTGGCACCTTAGTGTCCTTCATCACCCAGGGCAGCCATTGTCACCTAGCCACTGGATCACTTCGCATTGACCATAAATTATGCTAGTGTTCCTCATCATGAGACATGAGACCCAGGGCAGTTATTATCACGTAGCCACTGGATCACTTCTAAGTGGCCATAGTCATCAGCAGTTTGATATGTCTCTTCATTCCATGGACAACCATTTTCATGTAACCACTTCAAAACTTCAAATTGTCCATATTCAGCAGCATGGAGACATGTATCTTCATCCCATGGACACCCATTTTCACGAGCCCACTTCAGAATTTCCAAATCTCCATTTGCAGCAGCAATTTGACATGTCCTTTCATTCCATGGACAACCATTTTCATGTAACCACTTCAAAACTTCAAATTGTCCATATTCAGCAGCACAGTCACATGTATATTCATTCCATGGACAACCATTTTCATCAGCCCACTTCAGAATTTCCAAATGTCCATTTTCAGCAGCAATATGACATGTCATTTCATTCCATGGACAGCCATTTTCTCGAGCCCACTTCAGAATTTCCAAATGGCCACCTTCAGCAGCAAACCGGCATGTCTCTTCATCCCATGGACAACCATTTTCACGAGCCCACTTCAACACTTCCAAATGACCACCTTCAGCAGCATTAGCACAAGTATCTGCATCCCATGGACAACCATTTTCATGAGCCCACTTCAAAACTTCAAATTGTCCATATTCAGCAGCTTCTTCACATGTCCTATGATTCCATGGACAACCATTCTCTCTTAACCATTGGAGCATTTCCAAATGTCCATATTCAGCAGCACCGGCACAAGTCTGCTCATCCCATGGGAATCCTTTTTGTTGCGCCCACCGCATGACAGTAATATTTCCAATTTTGGCAATTGCAGTGCAAACATCAGCATAAGTAGGCGTCTTTTGGTAGGAATCGTCCTTGAGCCAGAATTCTGCACGGGGCTCGTTACAGAATGTTTCGCTGTAAAGAGTATCGGTGATTTCAGCACAGCGACTGTCATCATCTGGGTTATCTTCTACATTTCTCGGATTTTTCTTGAGTTCAACTTTGCAGTACTCTTTGTACAGTTGATTCATCTTCTTGTTGACAGCTCCCACAAAAGCGTACTGTCCAACACCCACACATGATAGAATCTGGCCAATCCAAACTTGATTGTCAATCAGCAGAAGAGGAGACTCTGTAGTACCAGTGCTGGTACCCATGTTAGTATTCGTAGTTCCGTATGGTTATCAGTAGCAGTATGATTAGAAACGAACCGTCTACTTAAGGGTCAGGCAGGGACCCGAAGGTCGGAGGTCTGACCGAGGGCTTAAGGGAGGGCGCAAGCCCGACAGCCCGATGGTCAGGCCGGAGACCGATGGGGCACAGCCGTCCTTAAGTAGCTGGTTCGTTTCGAATGGAACGATAACGGCTGGTTTTGTATTTAACGGTCGGTCTGTGTAGGGCTGTGTAAAACACTACTGTACCAATACAAAACCTGCCGGTTCGTTCCAGTGTAGTTGGACTGAGACTCAACTCAAGTCAATACTCGTGGTTGTGGCAACGTTCGTTGGGCTACTGTACTGGCTAGATAGATAGTAGATAGATAGATAGATAGATAGATGGACGTATGGAAATAGAGTGTTTTGGAAGTACATGTACATGTATGAAGAAAGTCTTGTGTTTTGAGGATGAAACTATGGGGCGCAAGTTTGTTGTCACGGTTGCCCTGGCTGTTGAAGCTCCGGCCGAGCCTGTCAGTTACCGGTAGGGTACCAGCCGTGTCGAAAACTCACTTTATGACAGCTCTAGCCGCTTATTTGTCTTGTAACGGTCCCATTCAATCCACTCCCTTTCCTTCGCACTCACAACACGGCAACTCGGAACACGGCACAGAAGCAGAACCATCACCAAGCAACACGGTGAAAGATTGAGTTGATTGGAGTGTCGTTCGTGTTGTTGTTGTTGTTTTTCAATTAATTGTTCGTCTAGCTAGCTATTAGCTAGCTTTAGTTTTGCTTTGACCATGTCGGCTGGACAAGGCAATAATACAGAAGCGTCTCAGTTGCATCGTCGTTTGTTTTATGCGAAATGGGAGGAGAGCAGTCAGCAGCCAGAAGGCAACAACAATAACAACGACAATGAGCCAGCAGCTCCAGTACCGGAAAACCCGAATAGTGTGATTATGTTGTTTGATTCGCCGACACACTGGCACGATGGTGAGTATGAGAGAGCCACACAAGATCAACAAGGAGGCGCTGCTGCTAATGCGAATAATGACAATGATGAGGACGCCGAACAGCAAATTCTGGCCATGGAGCGGACGATGGAAGCCATGTCGCGTCGGTACATGGACAATGTGGTGAATCAGATGCGAGGCAATAATAATGAAGACGAAGAGGAGCGTCCAGCGCGCATCATGATTGGAGGATTGGGCGGTGGTGCCATGCTTATGGGAGGAGGAGGACCACCCTTTGATTTCGCACGAAACATGGCGCGGCGGCGAAATGCCGTCGTTGATCGTCCACCTAACAATGTCGCAGCACAGCCAGCTCCTCCTCCGCGACCCAACAACAATGAGGAACCTCCGCGTCCAGACGCTCCTCCTGCCGACAATGCCAACCAAGGCGGTGCTGCTGCCGCGCAAGGCATTGGACGAGCGCTCGGAGACTTGATGCGGCGTGCCCTAAGAGGAATGGGCGGCGGAAGGAACAACAACCAGCGTCCTCCGCGCCGTCGTCCTCGCGAAGAAGCAGCTGGGAATGACGAACGACCACGACGTCGTCCTCGTCGTCAAGCACGCGAACCACCCGCTGCGGCAATGATGGTCGAAGTCCGCATGGTACAAGGACCCGACGGAAGACTCGTTCCCATCATGCCAAACAATAATAATAACAATCCTCTCATGAATGCCATGATGATAGGAGGACCACCACCACCAGGAGGAGACAACAACAACAACAATGGTGCACAGCCAAATGGAAATAATGCCGACAACAACAATAACAACGGACCGGACCCATTTCACAACATGATTGCCGACGCCCTCAATCAAGCTCTAGGACAGATCCACGGTGGACCCCCTGCTCCGCCTCCACAACAAGGAGCCAATCAAAACAATAACAACAACAATGAGGATCCTCCTCAGCAAGGAGAAAATCAAAACAACAATGATGAGGCTCCTCCCCAGCCGAATCAAAACGAGGACAATGGCAACGACGACAACAACAACAATAATAATGACCCGGCTCAGGGAGCAGCAAACCAACCGCCACCAGCAGGAGCCAACAATAATAATCCACACCAGGCCATTGGAGAGGCCATTGCACAAGCGATTCGTCAAGCCATGATGGGAGCGCCAGCAAATAACAACAACAACGCTGCCGCCGCAAACAACAACAACAATAACGCTGCCCCAAACAACAACAATAATGGTCCTCCGCGACCGTTCATGCCACGACCATTTCGTGTCAATGTCAATTTGCGAAACGCAAACGACAATAACAACGCTGCCGGCGCAAACAACAACAATGACAACCAGGGGCCTGCACGGGTCGGGTTTGGCGCCATTCCCATGCCCATTTTCGATTTTGGACAAGTCGTAAACCAGCAACAGACCCATCCCAAGTGGACATTGGACCAATTGCGCCAGACGTTGGAACAAAGACATGAAACAGCCACGACGTTGCATTTGGATGTCATGGAAGGTTCGTGGGATGCCATGACACTGGAAGACTGGAAACAGACCTGCACCATGCTTTCGGCGGCACTCCCCAATGTCACAAAAATCCAAGTCACTTACGTCGAACACTTGAAGGATGCCAAATGGGCCATGTTGTTGTCGCACTTTCCCAACATTACCAGTCTCAAGTTCAAACACATTGGACCCATGCCACTCACATTTCGGCAAATTGGACACTTGAAGCGCTTGGATCAGTTGTCGTTGCAAGACGATACGTACGCCAGATCCTCCAGTCGAGGATTGTGTCCCGTGGCGTCGATTGCGCTGGCAAAGGCACTGCTCAAACTCAAGTCGCTGTCCCACTTGACGATGAAACATCTCATTATGCAGGATCCCCGTGCGTGCTGGATTCCTCTGCTGAAGTCGATTCGGAAAATGCCTACCCTCGCACAGATCCAAGTCAATGGTGGCTGGCAGCAGCGGCCCGCTGGAAATCGTCCGGGAGCTCCACTCATTTGTCATCGTATCAATTTGAGTGCTTCCAACTTGGAAAAAATGCAGTATGGACCCCGTATTTGTGCGGCCCGCAAAGAACATTTAGCCAGTGACGAACCGACCATGATCAATTGGATTGATGCCCTGGCATCCGTCAACGACCGATTTGACTGCGTGCACTACTTTTTGACCCAAATGGATCCCAGCGATCTATCCCGCGCGGGGTTGGAAGGGGCAGTCGCGAAAGAAGCACGAACTGTCGTCGAGATTGAGCCAGTGGATTGATTAGGCAGGCCAACGCAAAACACACACACACAAGACAAATCACATCACATCATTACGCCGACAAGCTATACCATCGTGTCGGATCGGGGGAATATATCTTTCTTTATTCAGGCAATTTTCCATCATTTTGGAGTTTATGTACAAGTACTGCTATGCTAGACGCTATTCAAAGACGACCGCGATACAATGCAATACACAAAATAACGTAACTAACCCAATTTTGGATCTTGGCTACCTAGAGAAAGACGTTGCAAAGAGTCTAGCTAGATGGCTCGACCAGTAGTTTTCTTGACAATCTCTCCCACCTCTGGAAAATCGAACAGATCGTGGTCTCCATCCTCTACGGTATAGAATTCCACTTGATCCTTGGTGGAGAATAGTGTTTCGTAGTTGCGACTTGTGCTCTCGGGCAAAAAGTCCTTGGCTCCGTGGACAATGGAGACTGGAAATGTCGTTCCGGAGAAGCGTTCTTTCAGGTCTGGAATCCAGTTGTGCTCCATCCCCATTGACAAGAACGTAGCGTAACAGGCAAATCCTCCAATGAGTTTTGGATCCACTGGCTCCTTTTCGTTACTGGTGTCGACGGCACGATAGTAATGCTTTGCAAAACCGGCTTGTCTCAATGCCAATGTCTCGTCGGTTTCTTTGGGAAGCGATCCAAAGTCCATGTACACCTTCATGAAATCTTCAAACTCTTGGACATGTTCTTGATTTCCCCGCTCCTTTAGTTTGTCCTTGACCATGGAAAATAAATCCCCGTCTTTGGAAGGTAACTCCAATACTGCCGCGGGTACCAACAACGTCAAGGATCGCACATGTTCGGGGAATTCCGCCGCGTACAAGGTCGCCAATAAGCCACCAAAAGAGTGCCCCACGAGATCCATTTTCTCCACTCCGAGCCGCCGTCGAACGCGTTCCACATCCCCCACTTGCGCGCCAATTCCCAAATCTTGTTCGATAATCTTGATTCCAGGCCACATGCCCGGGGATGGAAATTTGCGGTGAATACGTGTGGAGTGTCCACATCCCCGGGCGTGATACAAGTACAGATTTGCTAGGTCAGAATCAGAGGCAATCTTCCAGGGTTGACTGGGAGCAATGGCAGGACCACCATGAATGGCCAAAATGGGTGAATGATTACTACTAGCATTGAGTGGAGGAAAGAAAAATAGTTCCACATTGTTGGGCATCATCCATTTATTGTCCTTGCTGGTCTTGTTGGTGTCATGGAGAGAAGCATCGTCAAAACCATCATTCTTGGCAGCCTCGTCTCGAACCATTCCGGGCTTGTAAGGTGCTTGTCGAAACTTTCTGTAGCACCAATACAGGAGCGAAGTAAATGCGAAGATTCCCAGTGCGTAGTACATCTTTGACTTGACTTGACTTGACTTGAATCTACCGGTAGCTGGTGGTATGTATTGATTTTTCGATAGCAGGAAATAGTGGGTGCTTTGGCTTTGCTCAAGAGGATGGAGGTGATGTGGGAGTTCTTGGACTTTCTTTCGTTCCCTCGAGCAAAGTTCGTCGACGGATCCAAGATCCAACCGATTCTGGATACAAAGATACCACGACTCAATGTCGGAAACCTTAACCTTCAAAACACTCCCCCGGAAAAGATCCAACTCCGCCCATCACCTCAGTTTTCTCATTCTCAAGGACCCAGCCACCAGTCAGCGCCACCAACAAAGAAGTGGACTTCTGTGGCGTGCTATCATATTGCTGACCTCAACCTCTGGCTACCGGTAGCAAGCAATTCAAGAGAAGAAGGAAGATGTTTGGAAGAAGGCTCCTTATTCCAAGACATCATTATGATCGGCTTGGTATATTATTTCGAGCTCTTCATGTCCATGAGTACATTTCTTTGGAACTCATGAAAACCAACGGCATCAAAACACCCGAATGCAAAGTGGCATCCACTCCAGAAGAAGCCGAAAATATCTTTCTCAATCATCTCAATAAGCGTAAGTTAGTGGGTCCAAAGTTTATCACAAGGCATGAGGTAACATTTATTTTATGTTTTCCTTGCTCAATTGTTTCTAAATTTGCACCATATTATTATCACAGCCGGGACAAAGAAGCTCAAGGACGTTGTGATCAAGGCGCAAGTGTTGAGTGGAGGTCGCAAAGCAGGTCGATTTCAAAATGGATTTCGGGGTGGTATCCATATGGTGACCAAACCGGGTAAAGCACGACAATATGCCGAACAAATGCTGGGACAGAAACTCGTCACGCAACAGGCACCCCAGGGGCTGCTTTGCAACCGCGTCTTGTTGATGGAACGCATGTACCTGAGACGAGAAATGTATCTCAGTATTGTCATGGACCCAAAGAGTCAGGGACCCGTCATCATGGCATGCCCCCAGGGAGGTACATCCATCGAACAAGTAGCCAAAGATACCCCGGAACTCCTATTGACCGAATCGATTGATATTAGGAAAGGACTCTTGCCAGAAGAACAATGCGAGCGAATGGCCCGACATTTGGGATATGAAACGGGCACGGAAGGATTCCAACAGGCCGTCGCCGTCATGCAAAATCTCTACTCCATCTTTATCCGCTGCGACACCACGCAAATTGAAGTCAATCCACTGGCAGAGACTCCGGAGGGTGACATTGTCGTGTGCGATGCCAAAGTAACCTTCGACGACAATGCTGCATATCGACAATCCTCCATATTTGAACGAAGAGATACCAGTCAAGAGGATCCTCGGGAGGCGGAAGCAGCTGAGCATGGTTTGAATTATGTAGGCTTGGAAGGAAACATTGGATGCATGGTCAATGGAGGTGAGTAAAAAGTTTTTCTTCCACTGCATGATTGGGCAAAATGCGAGCGGCAGTATTCTCACAGCCACACAAATATATCACAGCTGGACTGGCCATGGCAACGTTGGATACCATCAAGCTCAAGGGAGGTAACCCAGCCAATTTCCTGGACGTGGGTGGAGGAGCCAGTGAAACCCAAATTCTCAAGGCGTTTGAGATTTTAAGTGGTGATCCCAGTGTCAAAGCAATACTTGTCAACATTTTTGGTGGTATCATGCGATGCGATGTGATTGCCACTGGGATCATACAAACAGCACAAGAACTTGGAATACAAAAGCCCATCATCATTCGATTGCAAGGCACCAATGTAAACGAGGCAAGGACACTGATTGAGGGGTGCGGCTTCAAAATGATACTGGCCAATGATATAGAGGATGCCGCAACAAAGGCAGTGGGAATCGCAGAGATTGCCGTACAAGCAGAGAAGATAAAGGTGGGAGTGAAGTTCGATGGATTGGACTTGTAGTAAAGAAGAATTAGAATTTACATGGGTTGCATACGAGGAGGTTTCCTTGTTTTATGTAGAAGTTTCAAGGCCGGCCCGAGTCTGTCATTGCAGACTTGTGTCACCTTGACAACTCGATGTATCCGAAAAGGAACCAATAGATCTACTTTCATTCATGAGTGACAATCTGCGTGCCGTAGCATCGATGGAAGATGCACAACCGCTGTTGCTCCCTTGACTTGGGTTTCGGACAACCATGCTTTGGCTGGTGTTCCCCGCTGCAGTAGAGCGACAGTTTTTCTCCTTGTGGACGGGAAATCTAGGTGGCAATGGAGGCTGGCATTCGTGGACTCCTTTCTGAAGGGGGGCAAGATGATCTCGCCGAGATTGTAAGGTGCTGGGGCTGTTTGTTTCCTTTGATGGATTTGCGTTCATGACCACCGGTACAGGTGTATGCCTCTGCACATGGAGCTTTTCCATCGGATTGCGGTCACGGCAAGCTGGGACTGAGTCTGATGCTGCCTTAGCAATTGCTGAATCTCCTCTTCTTTGAGATTTTGCTGCTTCAATTAGTCAATTTCCTGCTCGACCTGCCGAATTCTCTCAGCTTGAGCCTGCTCATGCGCCAAAGCTATGATTGCATCAACATATGATGAATGCTTGACCAAGGGATGTGAGGGGGCCTGACGCAACGTTTGCAAACCTGGAGATGATGGATCCGAGTTCGAACTTGCAAATGTATGAGCTGGGAGGATTGGTTTAGTCCTTCGTTCGCGAAGGGTTTGAGAAACCTTTTTAAAGGCAGCTTTCCACCCGATATCATGCCACAGAGAGTTGTCCGAGAGAGGATCTGTTTTGATCAAAATCTACCATGGGGTTTTGGCGGAGCCAAAATAGGACGATAGCTGATGCCAGCTTGGCCTTCTCCTGCTTTCCTCCAGCCTGGTCGTAGATCGGCTTGAAACTCTCAACGAGTGTGCGAAACCTCAGGTTTCCTGGATGTGCCATGGCATGGCCACCTGTAGTGGGAAAAATAAGAGCCACAAAGTTGAGAATGCATCATCAGTAGTGTTGGCGCCCACAATAACTATTGGAACGCACCTCGGCCGCAAAGACAATCATGCAATCCAATCATGCAATCCTGGCTACACAATACCTGTCAATGCAGCTGAATCTTCTTGTCCGCCACCTCTACCGATACTGTAGCAGTCGACTGTGCAACGTGTAAAGTGGGAATCTTCGTGGCGGCGTTGTTTTCGTGAATATTAAAAGCGTTCATGGTGATTTGATTATGAAAGTGAACAGTTGGTCAACAAATTCGCAGAAGATTTGGCTCTCGCTTACCGGCATGGTACCGGTACCGGAGACTGAAGGAGATTCTTCAAAGGGGAGCCAATTTAAAAGGGGAACAGGGGAACTGTCGCCACGATTCACATTCGGTCGCGTTGCAGGGTTTTGAACCGGTCTGCGTCAGTGGTCGGTCCTTGAGGTGGTCCGAGAATTGCTCCAAGGACAGCCCTGATGTGGGACGAGGTGCATCCAGAGATATCGGCCTGCCCTGAAGTTAGCCTGGTAGCTAGCTAGATAGCGACCAAGGAGTTGGTCCTGCATTTCAGTTCTTCTTGGAGGAGCGAGGTCCTGAGGCCATGGGCTTAGCAACGGACCATGTGTTCGAAAGGCTAAGTAGAGTCTGCCTTTCATGTCCTCCCCTTTACCAATTGGCGGCTTTCCGTACTAGGGTACCATGGCAGATACTGCGCTTGTGTCCTCTCAGTCAGATTACGCTCATGTAATTGTGATTCTTCTTTAAAATTTATCCTATGAATTATGACTTTGCACCACATTTGAACATTGACGATCAGTGCAAAATGGTCACAAAGGCACATACCTTTACGCCCAGGTCATGTCATAACTGTTGACAGACCACCCATCCAGGCTGCTTTCGACAGAGTCTGCTCCGAGAGATCCCACCATGACAGATCCAGCAACAAGAGAGCCACTTGTCGGGAAGCTGGTTGTGTCTTCATCCCTCGGCGTTGCCTGGGATTTCACCTCGGGCTCTTGCAACACAAATCTTCTTGGCTTGACTTGCCAGGAAGCAACTGCTGTGGAAAGATCGCCATCAGTGTCACTTTCGGTACCGGTATCCACACTAGGACTAGCCATGCTTTGTGTAGCAGGTGGATAAAGACCTGGGGTGGTGGTGTCATCATCTACGCCATCGTCGCTGGTATCGTTTTCTTGGCTGGGTTCTGAACTATCGACATTAAGGTCTGTAAGGTCCTTGAGACTTCTTGAACGGTCGGCAGCCAGTCCGCTTTCAGCCATGGCCGCTTTGCTGGTTTGAGTGGTGTAGATGTAGGCGAGGCCACAAGCAGCCATGGCTATGATTCCACAAGCAATGGCCACGTAAATAGCGACCTCCGTTAAATCGATTGTCGAGGCGTTTTCTTCATCGTTCGCATCTTTTTGAACTTGCTGCGCTTGTTGCGGAGGCAGAGCAAGCAAAGCCTGGAAGGTTTCCGCTTCTTCTCCTACTACACTGCTCACAATGTCATCATTTCCCAAGTTGCCATGAAGTAGACCATCAAACGTTCCTTCACGAATGCTCTTTTCGATATCCTTGGTGACCTTCTGCTTGATCATTTCAGGCACCAATTGCAGTATGGTTTCGGCACTGACAGGGATTTCAGATCCCTCCTCGAGCTGCTGCAGCAATTCTTGAATATACTGTACACCCAACTGCACCACTTGAAACGAGATCCGCCAAGAAGTCCACATTAAGGGGTCCACACCTTCGCCAAGAACACCCCCAATTCGTGGTACCATCAATGTCGTTGAAGCCACAGAACCTTGCTGCTTTCCATTTGGGGACGCGAAGACGTCTTTGGAGGTCAAGAGCATGTCATCCTTTATGACGCAGACGTTCGTCGTGAAATCCTCACAGTACATCATGCGAACGCTCATCAGCATAGAATCTTTAATGGGCTTCAACTTGACGTCGTCATCAACAGGGATTCCATCAGGCGACCACAAAGAGATGCCAACCACGAAATCTATGGCGCTCGAAAAACTCTGCACATCGGCAATGACATCGTACTTTGGCGGATCTGCTACTTGAGGATTTGCGGCAATCGCATTCATGGGTGGATCTGTAGTGGCTGTTGAGTGCACTTGCACAGGTATCTGTGATGGATTCTGGGTAGGACTTAAGGTAGGTACGAGAGAGGGTGCGCTGTCACTGCTCTTGTGGGGGTCTGTGAGGGAATGCTGGCAGCCGGATCTTTGTGACTACACCCGTTGGAGCCATTGTTGGGCTTTCCGTAGAGGTCGTGCCAGCTTCACTGTTCGACCCAGACGGACTTTGAGTGAAAGCTGATTCAGAAGGGGATAGAGTAGCATCTTCCTCGGTAGATGGTCCTGTAGTGGACAACGTGGACAACTGAGTTGGCGACAATGATACTGGAGGCGTTGATACCGAGGGAGGCCTGTCTCCAGCAGTAGGTTGTTTCGTTGGTTCCTGCGTCGTCTGCGCTGTCTGTTGGGCTGATGGTGGATTAGTTGTGGTGATCAACGTTGGGCTTTTCGTGGGGGACAATGTTGGCTCTTCTGTCGTAGGTAATGGAGTTGCTAGTCGAGTGGGATTCGGTGTTGCGATAGTTGGGCTTTGCGTAGGATTCTTGGTCGTGGGTTCAGGAGTGGGTTCGCCTGTACGTGGCGCTTCTGTGGGCTTGATTGTTGGATCAGGGGTAACTTTGATTTCCGTGGGAGAAGGAGTGAGGGGTGCCCGTGTTGATCCTGCAATTATTTCGACACTGATAGAGGTGCAGGTATGCAACAGTGTAGCCACGAGAACTGACGCAAGCGACAGTTGGACCTTCATTGTCGACGTTTGATGAAAACTCAGGAATATTGCACTGGTCGAAGACAGTACCTCGCAGGCCGAATCCTTCAATCAAACAACCTGTGTGAATGCTCTGGGTTTGGTCCTGATTGCGGCCGAAAAGAACTGCATGAATAAAGTGCCGAGAAGAATTCCGCGGGAGTCGTTTCTAGAAAAGGAATTTTTTCAAGGCCATTTTTGGCCAAAACCAAAATCTCTGACGGTGCCTCGGTTCTAGCTAGCTACCAGTACCACCGGTCATGTATGCATACTGCGGTACCGAGCCAGCTCGCTGCACCGGCAACACCCAGGGTTCAGAGCGCACAGCCGCTTCATGCGAACCATTCCACTGGCCAAATCAAGTAGCTAGTTGAACTCTCCCTTTCGGGCTTGAATCCCAACCACTGCCTCCGAGCTTGACAACGGTGGCAATGATGCAGTAGCAGTACCGGTAGTCTGCTACCGGTACTACGAGTTTACACGTACCGGTACCGAGGTACATGTAGTCGAGGATTGGGAAGCTGTAAACAATGTATGCTGCCGCTATGGTTCTGTCTCTTTGGAGTGCCCTGGCCTATTACAGTAGCAAGAGCTGTTGGGATCTAAACACTGTAATTAGCAGCTGTTAGATATCGGTGCATGGGAGGGTGGCTGGGCTGAAGAGAGCACCATGGTCAAGCAAGCTACTAGTACCAGGTACCACTTGGAGAGCAAACGCACAACCTTGAAGCCAGCATGACCAGCAGGAAACTGTAGATGCTGCCAGCCTTTCCAGCATTGGAACGGTTGGTGGGCAACAAGAGAACAACCACCAAGCAAGTGCTTATTCTCTTGTCTTCGTGCGTCAACAACCGTTGCTGTCCAAAGCCTGCTTTCTTTCCTGCCAGATCCCATAAAGCCAAACCCTATGGTCCTCAATTTATCGCCCCTGATCCCACAGAACCCAGTCCAGAATTTGAACTCTTTCTTTGTTTTTAAAAGCCTGGCCCTCACTTGCTTGGGTAGACGAAGCCCCCGTTTTAGAGGGTTTCTCTTCCTTCGACCCTACCTCTAGCTACCGGTAGCTGGCTTCCAAAGGAGCAAGTGTGAGTCCTTTTCTTGTTCCTTGCACACTTTTGACTTTCGAGCTTTCGAGTACATCAGCCAATGCAAGGAGATGAAAGATGTGATTGTAAATAAATGTGTTCTTGCTAATACTCTTTTTTTAAAAATGAATCTCAAGTTACATGCAGCCCATCTTTGTTTCATTGTATACCTTTCCTTTCACGTTCCATGCATCGTGATGCCGCTTTCCTGCAGTTTGTTTTTGCTCCGTGAGCCTCGAACAACTTCACTTTTGCTTTGGGGCAGTAGCTTCAAGCGTTGCGATCAGGTTTCTGGCACACAACAACATAGGTTCCACTAAAGATTCCTGTTTCTCCACCGTCACGAAGCGCAATGGCAGCCTTCTTCAACATCTTTTGAGTCTTCAAAGTTCCAGTTGGAGCAATGCGCAAAGTTTCAAACAACCAGACCAACGAATGGAAAAAGACTTCCCCGAACCAAGTGAATTGGAAGCGCAAGGTGAAAGGATTCCAGCTTGGGCACATGGGCAAATACCAGGGTTCAATTCCGGTTTCTTTGTCATTTGCCTTTAGGGCTAGGTCTTCCTCACTCAACACTTTGAAGCCAACTTCCTCCAACAACTTAACGCAAGTTTTTTGGGTAATAAGGTCTGGCAAAGCGTTTCCTTCCTCAATTCCCTTCTTGATACGGCGGTGTTCTTCGTTGGTGGGATCGTACTTGTCGGTCATGGACCACTCATCAAGAATGAAGTAAGCACCGGGCTTCAAAACGTTGTAAATATTCGTGTAGAGGGCCCTGAAGTCTGGGGCGTGACAGGTTGCTTGCAGACCATAGGCTCCATCAAAGCTGTCGTGCTCAAATTTCATCTTCATGTAATCTCCTTGGATGATTTTGCATAGGCCACGAGTACGTGGATCCGCCTCGTTGAGCATGTTTCCGCGATTGACCTGGTAGGGGTTGATGCTGATGCCAGTGACCTGGCACTCCAAGAACCTGCAAATGTTTCGCATGGGTCCTCCAATGCCGCATCCAACATCCAAAATATTTTTGTCTTTGCCAAACACACGCAGTTTGGAAGCCATCTCGTATTCGTGGCGGCGGAGAGACTCATCAAAACTTTCATACGGAGCGCGGTTCGCGTAGTGGAAGCAATGGCCCCAGCCCCATTCATAAAACACCGTGGCCAAATCATAGTATCCACTGACCATGTCCTTGTATTCGCTGAGGCGGTCTTCAGTTGCAGACACCATGTTGCAGAACTTGTCAATCCCTGTATCGACGTCAGAGCTGAAGGTCAAATTTTCGTCCTGACGAATGAATCAGAATCCATGAAGTGAGGTTTGAATCCATGAAGTGATGCTCGAAAGAGACAAAAGACTGAACCACAAACAAGTTAAAATCCACTTACATGAACTCCCAACTGCTTCTTGAAAGTCCACCAACGTCCAATGGGATCAGCGGAAGTGAAGAACTGCATGGCCAAAACCGTCATGGTCACAGCCCCAAGAATCCCGAGAGATACGGCGATGGGCAAGGGCATTCCACCCGAGTAGTTCCCAATGATGGAGAGCTGCTCCGTCATCAGGGTAGAGAAAGACTCCATGGTTTCCGAGGTCAAAAAAGAGGAGGGATTCATGATGAAAGTGTTCAAAAAGATATGTTTTCTTCTGGCTTTGTGTGTGAGGAGGTTCTGGATTTCCAGGCTGGGAATTGTGAGATTGTGGTTGAAGAAACCAAAGAGTCTAATTTCCAAGATTCTCACAAATCAGGAAGCGGAACCTTTGACACCTACTTGCTCCTCCTAGATACGCCAGCCAGGTAGCTATCCTCCCAGACCTGGATACTCGCGGCTTGTGGATCCGGATGTTCTGAGTCGAGGTTGAGTCGAGTCATGGTCGCGGCTGCAAGATCACTTACTTGATATTTCAGAATGCTGAATTTGAGTTCGCTCGGCTTTGGCTTCAATGAGACCTAATTGCGAAACGTAATGGCGCTCAATCCAGGATGACAGGCGCAGAAATATTCCTCGCGCAAGTTACGACACCTTGAGTATTCATTTTCTAATACGATCCAGTGATCACGTGGACAAAGCATTTAGTTAAGAGGAAGCTTGTACCGGTACTGATATTCTTGCAAGCAGGGCGATCTTTTTCTATCTTTCGTCCAAAATGGCCCAAAATATTTTAATAGCGGTCCTGCACACCAAGCAGGTATGGAAACATCCTGTAAAAGCTATGAACGCTGGTACCGGTGCAAGTACCAGTAAGGCAATAATGTACTAGCTAGCTAGCTAGTGTTCAAAGCTTGCATTGGGGTCGCAGATATTTGATTACATCATGTATGCGACAGGACCTCTGTGGAAAGGTCATTCGTGGCAAAATACTTAAGCGACGATTCACCGAGGCATAGGAGACGATTGAAAGGATTTAAAAGACGAAAGCAATCGTCTCCTATATTTAAGAGACGATTCAGTAGGAGGCATTCCAATTAGGAGACGATCGTTTCGAAATAGGAGACAATCCGAAAGATTTAGGAGACGATACCATACAGTTTACATGGTACACTTAAAAGAGACGATCTGTTGAAAATAGGAGACGATTCAAGAGGAGACAAAAGATTTAAGAGACGATCCGTTTCGTCTCCTATTTTTAGGAGACGAAATCCATTAAATAGGAGACGATCAAAAGGATTTATTGGACGATCGTTTGCACGACTCGAGTTTCCACAGAGGTCCAGCTTACTAGCTAGTATGCGACTAACCACACTGTTCCTTTTCCAGGAAAACAGAGCGTTGCGATGCGAGATCTGCTCTTTAGCCAGACCCGGAGGCGGACACTGCAAATGTATGTGATGCCAAAGCCGGATGTCAATCTGACCCGAAGAGTACTGTAAGGCTTCAGCAGGATTTTAGCAGGATATCCTGGATCGAGCCTTCTTCAATGGCATTCTGATTGCCGTTTGCTACTGGTATTTTAAACGATGTGGACGGGAAAATACCTGTGTTGGTTTGAAGGGAAGCAAAGTAGGCCTGGCTGGTGGGCGACAGAGCCATTGCCCGCACGCTTTTTTCTGGAAACTGAAGCAATCATAGCATGTTCCGCACTTGGATATTAGCTAGGAATGCAGGATTTGCGCCGCATCATTGCAGGGGTCACCCGTATGGACGAAACACAAATTTCGTTCTTATGTAACTATGGACTGTCAATGTGCCTGACGAGATGGGCTCGAGGGAAAAACTAAACCTGAGTGACACGAATCCATCGTACGTTTGCTTGGAAAGCTAGGAATGCAGCAAGTCAGATTACGATGCATTGCCGTCCCAATAAGGATATGAACAAGCAACAAGCCAGTGGGCCAACGAGACAAAGTGCCTTTTGCGTAGGTGCATCATTCACTTTGATTGTCAAATGCCAGATTGGAAGGTTATGATGGTCGCTTGATGTCAGAGAATGGCGTTTCCCACGATGCCTTGCGATGGTTGTAAACAGAGAGGAGGCAAAGACAAAAGCAGACTGGCTGCTGGCTGCTATGAACACGAGTTCTCAAGCTGGGTCAACCCGAAGGTTGTGCCAATGTCCAATGGTGGGGGCATGTTTGTGTTCCAGGCTACAATCATCATCCTATCCAAGATCCCATCCAAGCAAGTGGCAACCAGAACTCCAGCATGATTGATAGGTGGCTTGCCTCGGAGGCAGTCTGTCAACTGTCTAATATTTAGCACTCTCCCTTTTGATTGGCACTTGAGAGCCTCGTACAGAAGGTTGAGTACCATCATCACAGACCAAGCGTTTTCACCACCCAGCCCAAGGAAGAACATTTAGATCTTGCCTCCCGCTCCAAACCACTCCACAAGCTGGCCACCACCTTGATGACTCTTTTCATTGGCGACAACCGTTTTCATCAAGGATGGTGCACGGAACAGCTTGGAATTCCTGGACCAGCTTGCCATGACTGGCTCACCTTGCAGTTCAGCTGCAGTCTTTAATTAATTATTTAATTAATTTGGCCCTCTCTTTATGGAGAACAGCTGTAATGACACTACTTTCACGCACCCAGCGATCGGAGAAGGAGAAGGACGACGACCAAACAACATCTCAAGAAGCTATCAAAACAAGCCATTAATTTTTTCTCGTCACAGCCGCTTCCACCCAAAGTACGGTAGAGGTGTAGAGGTACGATGTACTTTGTCACTCTCATGGTAGCATTCAGGTGATACACCCTATAATAACTATGTCAATATTGACATGCCTGCCACCTAGCTAGCTTGCAGAAGTCAAATATTTGGTGGCTGGTGTGGTTCAAAAAAAAGACTTAGCACCAACTATCTTAAATTTAAGGCATACTACTCTCATTTTTAGCGGCGTTTGCGCTGTACCATACGGTACCTGGTACCGCAGCAGCTTTTGCTTCTGGATCGACGACTTGTAACTTACTTGTAACGGAAGACGGAAGGCAAGAAGCCGTGTGGCTTCGTGGCCAGCATGCGGTAGTCTACAGCTATGCCGTGGTACTGTACCAGATCTGGCTAGTACCTTCTTTTGACCTTCTTCGAATTCATCGAGTACATGTATGTAAGTCCAACGAACAGTCGCGGTATCGGCAGCTGGTTCTTGCATTGAACGATTACTGGGTCACCAGAACAGATCGGCGCCTTCTTCGGAACACTTTTCCTTAAATCTGCCCATGATCAGGTCATTTAGATTTAATGCTAAAACTGTATTTAAATCCGGTGCTTGAAGTGCTCCAAACGACACTAAGAAGCGGACTGAAGCGGGAGCAAAACGGGGCAGTGGTCAGAAAGCTCCGAGAGAATCTCTGTATGCAATCTACAACCGTAAATTCACTGTGCTTCTTCAATCCGTCTCATAGTCCTGACTGCACCTCGAAACCGTTGTCTGTTGGCGCACTGCGCAGCAACCAGTTAGCTCTGTAAACCTGACCATCGTTGCGGTAACTTTGGGCTGATCCCTGATCCGCGGTTTCGCCTCCCAGACTGGAGTCACCTCACCCAGCACCGCTTGTTTTCGACTAGATTAGTTAGTTCGAAGGAAGAGAAACAGAGCAAAGTCTCAGCTGCATACTTCACGACGCTGGTGATGCAAGCAGCTTGCAAGCCCAATCAACATGTCAAATCCCTCAGCACACCAGAGTAGATATTTGGCATCAATGGCATCAATGGTAACGAATGGCACAGAGGACCGGTACTATGACGATGATTCTGTCGCCTACAGCAACGCGACATATTGGGGCAACGAGAGCACCTCAACTCCCACGACAACAGAGCCCGAAACAGACCCCTACTACAGCAACAAATGGCTGCTGATATTGCCTCGGCTTACCGCTGTCATCTCCCTCTTTGCCATTGTATGTGTGGCTATTGAAGCCTGGAAGGATCTTGCTGCCACCAAAAAGACGAGTGCAGGAATCCGAAGCACGGCACGAAAGAGGGCCTCCACGATCACACACATCCAACTGTTCTACCAGATACCGCTCCTTTGTCAAGCTATTGTGTTTGCCGTGGGATCAAGTGCAGCTCCAAAGGGAGAGGTATGGGGGGCCATTGGGAACACTGCAACATGCACAGTACAAGGATTCCTCCTACAGTTTGGAGTATATGCCACCATTGGCTGGGATGCTTCCTTGAGTGCTACCTACCTTTTGATGGTGCGCTACAAAGTCGCAGAGCTACAACTTCAGAGCTGGAAGCAGTACTATCATTGGATCATTTGGCCCCCCTGTCTGGCCGTCAGCATCTACCCCTTATTTGCGTCCATGTACAACGTCAACGGAACCGTGTGCTGGCTGGAAACCTACCCCAACCACTGTGTTGGGGACGAATGCATTAGAGGAGCAGGAGCTCCAATTTGGCAGACCTTGACATCCTTCTTGACAATGTTCCATCTGTTTTACTCATTTTCCATCATGATTTGCCTCTATTGCTCCATCCGAGGATTGGAAAATCAAACTCAGAGATATTCCTCCTCGAGCGTAAATGGATCATCGTCAAGACCAGGGAGCTCAGATAATGTAAGCACGCAATGCAGCGTGACTACTGTGACAAGCCGCCGTTGTTCAAGGGCTGTCGGTATTCAAGGCATGTTGTATGCTAGCGGTATGCTTCTGACGGGCCTGCCAACCCCAATCTACATTGTTCTCTGGAATACGGCGGGACTTTGGAGTGATGGATATGCCATCTTCGCGACAGCCTTACTCCCCCTAATGGGCTATGTGAACTTTGTCATCTTTATGCGAAACCGAAGTGTGGCCCAATGCCACACGCGATACGCAAAGTTTTTGCGAAGGGCGCACAGTTGGATCTTTGACTACGAAATTCACTGCCACTGCCGTTGTTGGCGCAAACCCGACGACGAGGAGGGCCAATCACCACTGGTTTTTCGAATACCAACAATTCACAGTAGGAAGGAACCTGGTCGAACGGAACAGCATACGAGAACGATGGCGCCAATGCCACCTGTAGCCGAGGATGGTGATGGCGATTTAGAAGACGGGGAGAAAGAAGGCGTTCCAGGTCGTTGGACGGGGTTCTTGATTCTCTGCAAACAAAAGAGCAAAAGGTTTAGTCATTATATATCTGAGCTGAGCGCAGGGTCGGTAGACGACTCTGAGTTCGAAACATATTGCGACAGCGCTCCCTCGAAGCCAGTTCGAACGAGGAGTGAAGCCGAGCGGCCTCCAATGAGACCAGTGCGATTTGTCTCGGAAGCACCGGATCTCGAAACAATTCAAGAGGCTCGCAGCCATAACGGTAGCACACCACCCACCAAACCAGTTCGGTACGAGAGTTGCGTCCCTGATCTTACCGAGGTTGAAGATGAAGACGATGAGAGCCGCTTCAACCAGAGCTCAGGCAGCGCAAAGCCGCCCACCAGACCGACGCGATACGTGAGCGAAGTCGAGCCTCACGAGGAATATTCAGAACATCCAACGGTGCCTTTGCATTGTGTCAATCAGACGACTTCTTCCACAACAGTTCGTTTTGTAACAGATGACATTGAACGGCCACCAACAATGCCTGTGCGGTATATCAGTGAAGTCGAGTCGCCTCAAATGCCTGTGCGGTACATCAGTGAAGTTGAACCACTCGAAGGTGAAGCCCCTCCTATCAAGCCAATACGTCTCGTGAGTGAAGCAGAACCGCCTACAATGCCTGAGCGGTTTGTTAGCGAGGTGGAGACAACGGAACCGGAAGCTTCTCTGAAACCAGTGATCTTTGGGAAGAAGCTGGGATCGCCCACAAAGCCTGAGCGGTATAGGGTGGGGACCGCGGCATTCAAAGCGGAGGCACCACCCTCGAAGCCAGCGAGGTTTGTGAGTGAAGCGGAGCCGCCCACCAAGCCTATGCGTTACATCAGTGAGGTTGAAGCGCCTGAACCTGTGGGTGGTCAACCACCGTCCAAACCAGTTCGGTTTGCGAGTGAGGCGGAGCCCCCCACCAAGCCCATGCGCTTCATCAGTGAAGTTGAAGCACCTGAACCTGTGGACGGTCAACCACCGTCCAAACCAGTTCGATTTGTGAGTGAGGCGGAGCCGCCCACCAAGCCCATGCGTTACATCAGTGAAGTTGAAGCACCTGAACAGGCGTGCGGGGCACCGCCTTCTAAGCCAGTACGATATGTGAGCGAGGTGGAGGCGCTGGAGGTTTCTCCTACTACCCAACCAATGCGTTCTGCTCCTTTGTCCAGTAGGGAAGGCTCCTTTTATTGGGATCCCACGAATAACGATTATATTCTAACGGAGTTCGAGGTCTGAGCTGCCAGCAGCAGAAGCAGCTCCATCGCTCGACTCCAAGTATCGGTCCTCCTTTTGGGGTTGGGGGATAAAATCGATCTCGCTCGCGGGGAAATATCAAGAGCCAAGAGTCAGCAGCTACCACTCCTACTCCGCCATCTACCACTCCTACTCCAGCAGCCACCATCTGGCTGCGAGTTCAGCTCCTCCTAGGTAGACTAGTGCTCAAGCTCTGCAACCGTGGCTCAAAGCCCGCAGCTCCAGCCTGCTGCTGTCCATAAAATGCTAATAATATAGACTTCCAAATATTTTTTGAATGGAAGGACCGCAGCAATTCTAACCGGCAGATAGAAAACAGCTTAAGCAACTTCGCCTCTGGCTGACAACTGCTAGCTACCCCCATAACCTAGCCAGTGGCAGCACATTCATCATAAACCAAACCCAGGCAAAAGCCATGACGAGGCTGTTCAACAGAGAAGCAACCCAACAGTGAACCCAGTAACCCGTCCCGAGCACGATGACGTTTCGAGCTAGCTACGAGCTGAAAGGGCAGCCCGACGCCGAACCAGCTGCATGCAACGAGATCAGTCATCAAAAACACTGGCTAGTTGGACCAGTACTATGGCTGCAATCAAGTTCGGGGCGCTTGCTCGGAGCTCAATAAGATCCAAAGCGGGAGGCTGGTTCCTTCGCCGCACTTGCTTGCTAGCTGGTCGTAGCTAGCTAGCTACTAGTAGTAGAATGATTCAATCCATCTCGAGCACAATGACCTATGCGGCGCAAGAGCAGCCCGAAGCGACCCCACACCAGCTACCTGGAGCTAGCCACCGGTACCGGTTCGGTCAGAGCTCGGAACTCGGAAGACACCAGCAACGACAGAAGGAGGTGGTGTGGAAACTGAAGGGAGCTCATCATCGGACACAGCGACAGTACATGTAGCCATTTTACTATTAATAGTAGTCCGGTGCAAATCTCCCGTAAGTCTTCAAGTGACCCACAGACCTTTTAATTAAATCACTTGTGACTGCACTTCATTTCTTCGAAAGTCTTATTTTACCGGCTACTTGGTAATTATTTTTCTCACGTTTTTCCAGATCCAGGCTCCCAATGCCAATTCCCAATCCGCTTCCTCGTTACGGTACATGCGTGTGTGCATGTTTGAGTTTGACACAAAGATTAGTAGAATTATTTTCTACTGCGCCGAAGGCATGCTTTTACTTCACTAGGAAAGACAGGCGGCCAGTAGTGCCGCCTGTTCAAGTAGAAGGGTTTCTCATGTGTAGCATGAGGACTGTACAAAAATAAAAAATAAATCCAGAGAAAGGAAATAGAAAATGGTAGCAGGTTCTTGCCCCGATCGTTGCATTACATCCTGCGATGTACAACACCAGTCGGAAAGAAGCATCATGCCGCACTGAATCTGTCCATTGTTATGGTGTTTACGGTTGGGTCCAACAACAGGATCACACTGAATTGTGCGGTCCATGCTGTGGAATGAATAGAGATGATTTGACAATGGTGCTTGCACAGCTACGGTAGCTATGCCGGGACTTGATGCCGCTGAAAGTTGCACTGAACGAATCCTTCCAACTGAGATCTTGTTTACTGGGGATCCCGCCCGGAGCTCGGCGGGTCTGTTGAACGATTACTCCAACCACAAAAAACTGCTTTTCTTTAGCCTTTCTACAACATTTTTGTTGGCTGTCTCCGCTTTCATGAGGATGAAGAACTGAATAGTGGCTTGGGAATCTAACAATCCTGAGTGTGTTCTTATTGGTGGGTACGGTGCTGGTGTAGCACTTTCTATGTCTTTTCTGTGAAGATCTACAGATTTTGAGCTTTTTGCTGCCATAAGTCTTTTCAAATATGTCTAAGTAAATGTGATTGAAATGTGATTGAAACAATATCTCAAATAGACGGGTCATTCGAAAAATCGACGAGCCCATTTGCAGCCCTGCCACCTCACAGGACAATGCCACCATCTCATCTTTTCGGATCAACCTCGCCCAGGCCATTTTCGCCTTCCTATTTTTGGTTGCTACAGCTGTTGATACAGCCTCTGTCGGTGATGTGGTGTGTCCGTTTCTGACTCAACTCGACGGATGAATGAGATGCCAATATGAAAGCACGACACTAAAAAGTCGACACAGTGTGTCATCCATGTCTGTTGTTCTTGCTACCTGAGCTGCATTGTTTTACGCAACAAGAAGTTGTTTATTCTGCTGACTGACTGAGGTTTGCTCGAGAAGATTATTCAACGGCAGGAAGAGGTCGACAGCACCACACCAGTGTTCGAAAGTCCACTCACTGATTGTATCACAATCTCTTTCACAACCACTTGTGAAATACAACAACAACTACTACAACAATAACAACAGCAACACTAATTTTAAGAAGATGAAGACTGCACGATGTCCCATCACAGGCCAAGTGGGTGTTTGCCCCTCGCAAGCATCTGCTGCTTCCTCCACCGAGCCATCCAGTGACTTGTCTCCCCGAGACCAACAAGCCCACGTGTGGCAGTCCTTGATGGAGCACAATCTCCAACACCAGTTTGCGACAAAGAGGGTCGATGGTGATGACGGATGTCCACCTGGATTGATGCATGCGAGTACCAAGAGTTTTACTCCTTCGGAAGACGGATCATTAGACAGTGGCAGTGAAATGGACAGCTTGGAGTTCTCACCCTCCGCTGCCAAACCACAACAACAAGAACGCTCGTGGCCCACGTACGATCAAGTTTCGGCTCGTGTAATGACAGCCGACTACAAGGACATTCTGACCAACCCCACCGACATGCACAATCCGAACACCACCAAATTGTTCTGTCCTCATGGCGTCGTTTGTCAAGCTCGACTCGAATTCTTTGACGCACCCAATGGTGTTCAGCCATACACGGGGCTCCTCGCACCGGGCACCACGGCCGACCATTGTCTGGTGCGATTGTCCTCGGCCGTTCGTCCCGTCGATCAAGGCACCAAGAATCCCATTGCGCAAGCCATTGCCCGTCGAACGTTTGGCGCCAAGCTCTGCGCCAGCAATATTTTGCCAGCAGCCGCTATCAAGTTGTTTCGGGGCAATGGTGTTGCTTCCGGCAACATTTTGCTCCTGGGCAGTAAAGTCGGACAACCGGAACGCAACTTTTTCCAGCATGCACTCTGTACGGCCGTCACGGAAAAGATTCCCGCCATGACCATTCCGTTCCTGCGACGCTTTTCCCGGTACAGCGACTATCCACTGTCGCTCGGTTTGTCGGAACTGTGTCAATACAATGCCCAAGGACACGCCACTCCCGACGACCAAGTTAACTTTCCCTTTGCCCTGTGTCTCCAACCCGTCGTGCAGATTCCGGCATTGGAGGACATTGCCAACAACAGCGATAGCGATCGTCCCTTTGACGCGTTCATTGACGATATCCAACAGCATGTGCCTGCGGGGACACACTTGTTTGATATTTACGTGGCACCCACGCCCGAAAGTGTTGGCAAGTCGAAGCAGTGTCAACGCATTGGACGCGTCATGAGTACATCGTCGTTCCTCTACAGTTCGCCCACGGATGGACTCACATTTCGACATCAGAGCAAAGAAGACGATCTCGCATTGCGGCGTGATTGGGAGGAACGCATGCATTCCACCACGGTCCGCTGTCAAGACGGCACGCAAGGCACAGTCGCCAAGCTCACGGGATGGCAAATCTTTGAAGACCACATTCGAGTAAATGCCGATTACGTCGATTTTGAAAAGCAACGAAAGGCGCCCAAGGCCGTGAGCTTTCAAGACGACGACCATCACGACGACGTGTCCATTCCTGGATGGACCTTTTGTGGCTTTCGAAAAGCTCGCGTGGAAGTGTAAATATATAATTTTTTAAGGTTGTACATACAATATACTGTTGTCAGTCGATCGTCTCTTTCAATAATACAAACCGAAGCATCGCCAAAGGAATGTGCAAACAGGAAAGCAACGCACCGATGACGAGACCGATGCACATTTGCACCGCTGGTACTGTACCGGTACCGGCAGGTGACCGTTTCAGCTTGCTTTTCACCAACGCGAAGACCTGTATTTGGAACCTCATCTTCCGGTCAGTAGCTGCGACAGAGCAGAGAAAGACGGGCGCAACCCAACAAATCACAGTTTCCCTGCCGCTTTGCCTTCGTGGGCAGCACTCTTTGGCAAGCGATTTGGGTGGTTTGACCTCTCTTTTGGGCTGACTCACACCACTTTGCCTTCCAGCCAAGGCGGTTGTTTCGTTGCTTCTTCTTCGCAAGTAAGTGCTCCGTCCTCGTTGTCAGAGTGGCTGCACTTCACGGCACGGCGCCTGGAGACCTGCTGAATGACATGCAACAAGGCACGGGCAGCATGGCACGGGCGCAGTACGAGTAGCTAGCTGGGCGTTGTCAACGCAGGTCGCTTCCTCACAGAGTTATTAATACTTTGAGGACTCCGGAATAGACTTGTATGACCCACACTGAGATAATATTGCTTGTGGTGGCGACGAAGCTATCTACTTTCACCGCCAGTTTGTACGCCATTTCAACGGTGACGAATTGCACACATCATGCAGCTACATTGGTGGTCATGCATGACCACCTACCGATACATGTTGTACAGTAATAGCCTGAGAACATGAGCCCTGGCATCTCTCTCTTCACCTTGCGGACCAGCCTGATGGACAAGTAAAAGCCGATATGCACCATGTGGCCACCCCGCCATCAGAGCAAGGTTGGCACACTGCTAGCTAGCTAGAGTCGAGTGGCTGACAGTCACAGTCCTTGGCCGAAAGGGAAGATATCGTGAGGTTCCAGGAACAGGCTCCTGTCTTGGGCGCAGCTCCACACTGCTCCACAGGAGTGACAACAAGCAGCAGCACAAATACGATAACACGATGAGCAGCACAAATACGATAACACGATGACTATTATACGTGCTCCACCGGTTGTGTACCGATAGTGACAGTCCTCTCGTGGTGCTTTGTGATGAGTGAAGTTCTAGCTAGCTACCGGTAGTACCGGTACCAGTATCGGTATCGAACATGTACGTGTTCGTATACCCGGTACAGTCTGGACGGTTAAGTAAAAGTGGAAAAAGTTGGATTTTTGGGTAAACTGGACTTGAAGGTTCCCCTCTTCTTAAACAAGTTGTCTACTTTTCACCCTTGTTGAAAAGTGTTGAAAAGAGGTTCATAATTGTTGAAAAACTGTTGAATAAGTGTTGAATCGTGTTGAAACCCTGTTGAATTACTGTTGAATCTATAGTCAGTGGAAGTGTGGAAGTTGTTGAATAAGTGTTGAATCCCTGTTGAAATATGTTAAATCTCTGTTGAATTAGTGTTTAAAGGATATTCAACAGTGTTGACCCAATTTCAACAGTTTCAGTGCTGTTAAATCTAACAATTCAAAACTTCAACACTTTTCCTTTCGAAAACCCCATTTTCCCCAAAGTCAACTTTTACTTAACCGTCCTGGTACTGTACCATGATCCCATTGGTTAGATCTATGTCCACAAATCCTCCCAATTCGGCATCCGCTCCATAAGTCACTTTTTGAACGATCGAATGTCTGCTGGGACAAGCTACGAAGAGGTATACGGTGTTTCTAGTATGGTGAGTTACAGTCGCTGTCACAGTCATCTCTGAGTGCCCCTTTTTTTATGTCATTGTGTTTGTGCTTTCAGAGCCCAACTCGGATCGAGGTGTTTTGGCAAGGAGGAGGGGTACTTTGATCTTTGAGGCTCCCACTCTCGTTTCATCTTTTGCTCACAATTTGCCACTCCCAACAAAACGAAACAAACCGAAACAAAACATGACGCGCTTGATTGCCACCTGTTTTGCCCTCATGGCAGCCTTGCCCCCCCTGGCTTCGGCTACTCCTGCTGAAGATCTCGAGTTTGTTTGCTGGGGAGACATGAATCCAGAGAACCGAGCAGCATTCATGGCCTTGGGTTATGACGAAGAAGTATATAATGGAACGTACTTCTATGAGCATGTCCCCTGGGATAGGCTCCCAGCGAATGCAAGAGCTGAAGCAGAGGCTGAAGGCTACGACAAGGAATCGTGGCACATGGATGATGAAGATAGTGACTTGTTCGTCACACGCAGGCTCAATGCGCTTCTGGATCAACAGGTCCTAGCTGATATCCTTGACGAATGTTGGTTTGAAAAGTACACATTGACGCTCTTCGTCGAGACTGACAAAACCCATCTCGACATGATTGCTCTACCTCATGGAAAGAACAAAAAGACGTGCACGGATGCCTTGACTTTTGACGATTTTGGGGCTGGCATCAAGCTGGCTTCCTTGGCGGCGGACCTCGAACTACCTGCCAACTGGGAAGCCGACGCTCTTCCTTTGGGGGTCTTTCCCTTGGGTAATATCTTTGATGCCTCTGATGATGCGGATGTGGTTGATCCAGATGAATATGATGTGGTTGTAAGTTAGTTTTGGAGCGAAATCGTGGCATGAAGAATTAAACGTTTTGCAACAGTACCATCTCACCTCATCTGTGTATGCAATGCTTTCGATCCGCAGGAAAACAACTGCGCTACTTTTGTGCTTCAAACGATGCAAACCCTTGAAATCCCCGTCTCGGAAGAACTCAAATGTTACGTTGTGAACCATCTCATCCAAAATGTCGACTTTATCGACGAGGTTAGGAAGAATCCAAATGTCATTGAAATTGTGCGCCCAGAAGACGTGAAAAAACCTGACACGAAGCTAACAGATCTGCAAGTTGTATGGCGCCTAGTGGAATACTATGTCAAGAATCACTATGCCACTCCAAAGAAATAATGAGGGGGCTGTCTTCATGCGATACAAGGGTTTCATAAAAATATCAAAGTCTAGTTTACAATAACGGATTCAACGAAAAGTGCTCAAAGACGACCCATGAGCCAAGATTAGGTGTTTGCCAAAGTCAAGTCTAGGGTGGCATAGCTAGTTTTAATAGTGGTAGAGGTGCTGTTGTATTAAACTGCATGCATGCAACCGTACGGTACTGTCCGTGCAGCCTGTTCTCGACACAACGGCGAAGCAGGCTGAAATCAGATTGATGTATTGCAGCGATCGGTTGGTATGAGAAATCTTCCGCACGACGAGTGTTGCAGCAACGTTGTATGTTTTGCACGAGGAGAAAGATGGTGTCATGCAAAGATGGTGTGAAAATGGATCTCACCGGACAGCATGCTTACCACTCACCCAAGGACCCAGGAAAAGGTACGGTAGACTGCCTCCCCATGCTAAAAGGGAAGGATGAATGATGATAACGCATAATTCTGACATGTCAAGCACAAAAACACGGCAAAATGTGGACAAACTCGACTCCCCCCACTCCTCCTCACTGGTCACTCCCGGCTGGACTCGACTCCAACACTCAAATCCAAAATCGCGCACCCCTGCTGGCACCTTCATTATTTTTCAATAATTATTGCCACTACTGACGGAACAGCTCCAGTACAGCTGTTAAGAACACCGACCACGGAGCTAACAGCAAGCAGTGTGGTACCCGGAGAACCGTGTACATGTGTATTAACACCGTAGAACGAATCTGCAGTGTACTAGTGTACTAGTATTAAGGAAAGCTTCGTTTCTTCACTATATAATAGCTACTATATCCTGCAACTCTTCACCTTTATACCAGACAACCTGGCGTAAGAGGCAAAAGCAGTCCCTATTCTCCTTGATGCTCCCTCGCAACCACTACGCTACGAGTACACTAAGTATGCATAGTAGAAGCTCCACATCCTGCATTACTAAAGGTACTGTAGGAGCTACCGTACAGTGTTTAAAGTGTAGGTACCAGTACCCATCCCACGCACATCCGCCAACACGGTCCCGCTGCATACCACTGAGTTACCCTCGCTTCCGCTTGCAACCGTTCTATTTTTCGAGACTCAGTCTATGAACACAAACAACAACCTGACCAACATAGTCAAGTGTGGAGCCTCCAATCTCCCAAAGCACAGCAACAATGGAAACGTCTGGGTGGATGCAGAATGATGCTCGAATGCTCGTAGATTTCGACGACCAGTTTCTAGCAACCCAGGATGCGAGTCTTCTTGCTCTCAATAGCAGTAGTTCATACACTGGATCTGGCATGGCGAATACAACAGAAGATGAAGCCTATTACGAGGCCGGAAAAGTTGCCTTGATATTACCTCGGCTTACCGCTGTCATCTCCCTCTTTGCCATTGTATGTGTGGCTATTGAAGCCTGGAAGGATCTTGCTGCCACCAAAAAGAATAGAGGTGGAGTGCAAAGTACGACACGAAAGAGTGCCTCCACCATCACGCACATCCAACTGTTCTACCAGATACCGCTCTTTTGTCAAGCTGTTGCATTTGCCCTAGGATCAACTGCAGCTCCAAATGGAGAGGTATGGGGTGCCATTGGGAACACTGCAACATGCACGGCACAAGGATTCCTCTTTCAATTTGGAGTGCATGCAGCCATTGGCTGGGATGCCACCTTAAGTGCAACCTACCTTATGATAGTTCGATATAATGTGGCCGAATTTCGCCTTCAAGCCTGGGAAAGATACTACCACATTGTGATTTGGCCCTGCACTTTGGCCATTTGCATCTATCCACTGGTGAGAGGCATGTACAATTTCAACCACTCATTCTGCTGGTTGGAGTCATACCCAAATGACTGTGTTGGGGACGAATGCATCAGAGGAGAAGGAGCTGCACTTTGGCAAAACATGGCATCGTTCTTGATGATGATTCAACTGGTATATTCTATTTCTGTCATGGCTGCCCTGTACTGGTCCATTCGAGGTTTGGAAAATTGGAATAGACGGTACGGCAGCTCTAATTTTGAAAGTCCCAGTTCAGACGAAGCAGCGGTAAGCCGCCGAAACTCAAGAGCAGTTGGCATCCAGGGTATGATGTACGCAAGTGGAATGGTCACTACCTCCCTCCCAATTATCATCTATACTCTACTTGGGAACATGGCAGGAGTCTGGAGCGCAGGCTTCTTTGTGTTTGCCAACTCTGTTGTTCCTTTGATTGGTTACGTTAACTTTCTCATCTTTATGCGAAAACGAGCAGAATGCAAAACACGATACGCAAAGCTATTGCGGAAGGCGCATAGTTGGCTCTTTGACTATGAGCTACTCTGCAATTGCCATCTGCAGTGTTTACCAGTCCATGCCGGCGAGGTGAATGATACGGCTCCCTCAACTTTGCCACGTGGGAATCCATGCAGTGACAGCGGGCCGCCTGTGCAACCGCAGATGCAACCACAGATAGAACCTCTTCACGCAACGGAAGACAAGCAGAGCGATGCGAGTGAGGGAGCGTCCGGGCGATCGGAAGGAATCTGGATTAGTTTCCAGCGGACTAGTCAAAGGATCAGTCAGTGGATATCGCAACTTGGTGAATCCCAATACAGCTCCGAATGCGATCGCTTCGATAACCCTCCATCAAGGCCAGTGCGGTTCAAGAGTGAAGCGGCAAATCCCCCGACCATGCCAGTCAGAGTCATCTCAGAAGTAACCGACGTGGACGCGGGAAAAAGCGGACGATTGAACTCAGGTGAAGCTACTCCATCCATACCTGTACGACTAGAGAGCTGCACCTTGAGAGCAGGTTCAGAGGGACTACTGGTGGAACGGCAATGTGACGCATCCCCGGCTAAGCCACCGAGATTTGCGAGCGAAATTGATGACGTTGAGCAAGATGTGGAGGGCAAAACTTTGGATGTGTCTCCTGCCAAACCGCTGAGGTTCGTGAGTGAATGTGATGTAGCAGAGCATGGTGAAAGTACCAGGACCCTTGACTTGTCTCCGGCAAAGCCACTGAGATTGGCAAGCCAATGTGGTGTCAAGGAGCAACATGAGGGCACCGGCAACATCGACTCGACCCCAACCAACCCACTGAGATGGACCAGTGAGATTGATGTCCCGGAGCAAGACGACTTCACAAGAACCTCCAACGTGTCCCCAATGAAGCCACTGAGGTTTGTGAGTGAATGTGACTTTCCCGATCCCCAGCATGATAGTGTCGGAAGCTTGGACATGCCCCCCTCTAATCCACGGAGATTTGAAAGTGAGTGCGAGGTGTCAGAGCTATGATGGTGGTCTCTGCTGGCGCATTTTCAACAAGTTCTTCACAGCCAGTGATACGCACATGCACATGAAGACAAGATATAGGTCTAAAGACCTTTCGGAGCATCTCTGGCAGTAGCAGGTCCATACAGATAATTCTGGAGGCCGCTTCACCCCTCCTGTCTTCACATGCAACTTCCACCAAACTCGTGATACCCGCACAACATCCACCTGCTGTGATGCCTCTGTTATATCTGTCAGAGCACTCTTGGTCGTTATCCTCTTCCTCCGTGTAAGCAGACCCAGAATAGATCCATTAGTCCTAGTTAACACCTATTTAGCATGCCTTCAATACTGAATCCTGTAGTCAACCAACGTGCGGTGCACGACTCCGCGGAAACGTGCACCCCGATGCGTGGCGCTCACGGTCAAAGCATCGATCGTGGCTCAATCTATCGTTTCTTCGACGTTGTGGTAGCTTTGTCACACTGATTGACGGTAGAAAACATATATAACAATGGACTCGTCCGAAGAAAACAAGCAGCAGAGTACCGCCGACATGGAATCCGCAAAAAGCAACAACAAGGAACAACGCCCCGCCAACATGGAATCCGCAGAAAGCAAAGACAGCGCTGATGAAGCATCCACTCTGATTTATGGCTTGAAAATTGACACGGCAGCCACAGAGGTGACCGCGGCACCATCTGACGTTTCTTCGCTTCCGCCCACCCCAGCCACCCCTGCACCAGAACGAGAAGTAAATCCCAAATTTTTGTGCGGAGGTGATTTTGTTTTTACAGTGGTGGCCGCGACGACGACCGAGCCGGAATGTATTGAGGCGGCGACGATTGCGTTTCTCTTTTGTCATGATGGCAAGAAATACGGAATGACTGTCGGGCATTTGAAGCCTTCCACACGGGGATCGATTCTACGCTTTTTGCTTTTGCAACAAACGAAGCTATGGCTGTCAAAATTGGACATGTGGTGGCTTTTTCGCTCTTCACCGATTCTTTGATATTCCAATTGGATGATGATATCAAGGCAGATCTTGCAAGGTGCGGCTTGCCGACGACACCAAGCATGTAATTGATCTGTCGAGAGCGGAAGTTGCCTTGAACAACCTCCTTGCGCGCGGAAGCGCACAGCGACGAGGGACTGAGGGGGTCTTCTCTTCTCTTTGGACTACCGAGGGTGGTAACCCAGATGTTCGGAAAACGACGAGATCTCCAAGGAGGGAGACTGTGGTATGATCGTTTTTGATGGGAACGGAGACCCTCTTTCGATGCACCATGCTGGTTTCGAAACCACGGGAGTTGGGCCGATTTCGTACGAATTATTCGGTGCGCCTTACTCGCATTATCAAGGCGCATCAAAGCTTCTTTCCGGACGGTGCTGTATCAGAAAACAATGACAATTTGTGCATTCGGCGGACTACGCCGCAGCGACGAGCCTCACGCCTGGTGCCGCGGATTGGCTGATGCCTCATTTCTTGCCAAGCACAAACCAATCATCAAGAAGAAACCAGGTGTTTTGAAACTCGCCCAAATTCCTCGATACGTACCCGACCGCGAGCGTCAAGGACAGCACGAAGAAGAACCTTGACTCTCACTGCCTTTGCCTTGATCTCGAGGGTCTCGGTGCGCCTTGTGGAAGCGCTTGCTTGCATGACAATCCTTTTGGGAGCTTTCCACCAGTGAGAGCCCTCCCACTTCCGTCTGTAGCTGTACCAGTACGGCCTTGTTCGGGACAGGAATTTGTGACTGAGGCCTTGGTTGTACTGGTACCGTACCGGTACCGGGTATCGGTACCGGTGTTTGTTGGTTCATGAAGATGAAGAGGTTGACGTTAAATCGTCGTTTCCAATGTATACGTTAACGATTACTAGCTAGTACGATGTATGATGATGATGCTTCCGAGCTTGATCAACCAATAACCATGGATGGAAGAGCTATGGATGCATGTATGTTGATTGATATGTCAAGTTGCGATTTACATGTAGTGTTTAGATCATAACTCAGTCCTTACTTTCGTGCATTTGGTTGATGAATTAGTATATATACAATGGCAACCAAATTCTTGACAGAAAGATTGACGTCTCGTACAGTTTTCCTTTGTTCAGATCATCAGTCAGTGCATATTTCCCTGCCCTACTAGGTTGATATATTCAAGTTTTTTACAATGGCAACCAGATTCTTGCTTCTGTGGCTAGTAGCAAGGGAGAACTGCAGCATCCATCCAGTCGGCTTGCTGCATCTCGTCGTCTTCCCATGCGTGACGGTCTCATGCTTCATCTTCATGCTGCAGGAGAGCAAGCATGGTTTTGCTGTCTCAAGGTCACCAGAAGGTCTAGGTAGTGACTTCGATAAGAAGGTTGGTTCATGAGGCTTTGGAACATTGGCATGCCAGACAATGAATTTAGCCAATTCAAGCAGACCTCGGTTTGTGCTTGATCAAACCTGGAAGAGTGGATATGGCCCATGTTGTTGAGCAAAGCAAAGACCACCAGGAGCAGGTCAGGGACTTGAAAGTGTTCCCAGTAGTCCTCCACGACACTAAAGGCCATTTCGTAGAGCTCCAAAGCGCCACAGATGGCTTCCCCTTTTGTATCAGCGTCGCCCCTCTTGAGTGCTTCCAAGTGCATGGTGAGCCCCATGTTGAACAAGAGCATTGCCAAGAGAGGCTCTGCATGACCTGATGATCCTGGTGTTGCTATTGTCAAGGCTCGCGAAAACAGTGGCAAAATGCTGTTGCTAGGAGGAGAAGGAGGAGGAGAAAAAGGAATGGAAATCAGGGACGGAGTGTTGCTACCATTGGCTGGACTAGTGCTAGCAACGGCACCAGTTTCAGGCCTATTCAAGGTGCTGGCCATTGATTGCAACAAACTTTGCACATTTTGAGGGCCCATTGGCTTGTTGGCTTCGTTATTCAAACTAGCCTCCAGATCTTGAACGTGTTGCACCGTCGAGAGGGCCCTGCACAGTGTTCCCACGGTCTGATCTATTTGGCCATGCTGAAGGTGGAGGAGCGCTTGATTGTTCAGATTAACGATGACGGACGAAAACACACTCATGGTGGCTCAATTGATTGCGAGGTTGGTTGCGGTGATGCGTTAGCTTGTAAAAGCTTGTCTTTTTGCCATCTGGCTCGAATTATTGTGGCGCATAAACTGCCTCGAGACAGCTCTCCTGGGACGAGCTGTCTTCACGTCCGTGGATCCCGTACTAAACGTACGCAGACACGAGGATTGCTCGATCAACGCGGAAGGAGGGTCGGTCGCCACTGACTTTTCATCTCTCTCAAGAGTTTACTGCAAGACAAATTTGAAAAATGTGGAACCAATACTGGAGTAGTAAGCTTTTCGAACGACCCAGCATCTCCAGATCCCTAGCTATTAGCTATGCAAGTACTGTAAAGCGTCACATAAGAAGCTGTAAGTGTCGAATGCGAACTGAATTGGCTGGCAAGTGTCTAAATAAAGAAAAACTGCCTGAAGTGTGCCGCATGCTGATGACGTCAAACGATGTGCTGTGCCAGTACCGGTATGATTGTAGTGCCGTAGAGCGTCGCATAAGAAGCTGTTTATAGAGAAAGAACATGAGAACTGAAGGGACAGGTTAGTGCCTTTTAAATAAAAGACTTTCTGAAGACAGAAGAGGACTCGAACAGACCTGGCCAACGCAAAATGACGCACAAAAGAAGGAGCCCATTTTAGCGTGGTAAAGTTTCGTGAAAGTCGCTTGATGACTTGAAAAGAGGCAGCATACTACGCTGTAGTGTACCGGTATAGTCGAGTCTTCGCATTTTTTGATTATTTTCCCACGTGCGCACATTTTGGTCGGTCGCGGCTGTTTTTTACTGCCTTGATTACCTGAAAAGAAGCTAAACGGCGAAAGCGAGTGACAGTCGACTCGTCACTCTAAACGTTGGCCTCTTTGGATTGGCCCTCCTTTGTTTGGGCCTCGGCACGTTCCCAAGTGACGTTGGCATCCCTTCAAAGCAGTCTGTTTTGCGTCCATTTGTCTTGCATTCGACAGATGTCCTTCCGTCATACGATAGCAAAAAGTGACTGAATTATAAGAAAAAACTGGGACTGCTGAGGTCCACTGTAACTCGGTCTGACGCTGCACGTGCACGTGCTTGTTCTCCTTTCCATCTCAGTACAGTACTGGTACGGTATGAGATCCACATATTTTTAACGGTGCTGCTTGGCCACCTCCAACACCCAGCTACCAGCCAGAAGACTGGTTCCATTGTAACCTGTTGATCTGGGGTAGGTTTAATTTCAATAAAATCACAAAATACCCCATTTCGCAGATGTTCCTTCAAGCAGTTTTCAAAGTTTCAAATATTTATTTATTCTGACGAATCCTGCTTTCATTTTGCTGTGTTCTTTAGCCTGCTTTTTGGATGAAACCTGTCTTGAGCAATGGAACCAGTCTTACAGCTGGTAGCCAGCTGGCCAGTGAGGCTCCAAGCAGCCGAGAAGACTCGATAGCCACATGTACCCAAGCAAGAAGAGATTCTCAGTAGCCAATAACCATCTATGAGGTAGAATCTAGCTAGCTAGCTGATACCGGTAGTGGTAGAGTTGGCGAATTGCCGCTTGGTGCTTGGCTGGAGAGTACATAGTAGAGTACACCATGAATGTACCAGCCATCGGGTTGCCTTCCAGTAACATCTATCTAGCTAGAACTACCGGTACCGAAAACCGCGGTACCGTACCGTACCTATGGTCCCAGGATACCGATACCAGTACCAGTAAACCCGGGCGTTGGAGTTGGTCCAGTAGAAGGCCCTGTCGTTCCATGGGTCGGCCTGCCTTTTCAGCAGTGGTTATTGAGTACTCTACGAAGGTTGTTGGCATATCTCCGATCCATTGCTTGGCTATTTGCCACTATTTTGCTTCCCCCGGCCGCACATGCGTACTGCTGCAGTTTTGTGCTATTGAATTTCTCCTACCTGTAGGATCCCAACCAGGAAAGACCGATGGCGGACGCAGCAGCGACGACCAGGAGGGGGCCCATGGCTGGAGCACTTGGCCCTGCTGGTTTCTCTGGGCACCAGTCCTTGCTTCGCTCCAAACCAATTCTACACTGGTTCCTGACTCGGAAAGTATGCCTTGTTGCCATCGTAGCTCTTGAAAGCAATTGATGCATGCGCTGGGGGGTTGCCATTGTTCACGAGTGCGGTGGATGATCTCTCTTGTGCTGGGCTATTTGGTTGGTGCTGCATCAATACGGTGCTGCAGCTCTCAGCCACGGTCGCCAATTACATACATGTAGGCAGTCATCGTTTAGGTTAACACGATGCAAATATATGATGAGTGCGTTTACTTGCTGCTTTTATCTATGATCTTTTTATTAAAAGAGTCTCTGTAGGGACTGCTGCTTGTATGATTGATGTATCTTGCTTGTAGTAGGGAGGTGGATGAGGTAGGTATGAACAGGGAGGAGGTATTGCTTTGTACAACTTGTTGCTTTGTGCGCAAGATTGTTTATTAATAGACGGTCAAACCGCCCATGGAAGTGCCTTGCGTGTGGACGGGCATCATGGCCCCAGCGGCAGCCGCCAATCCCTTCATGAGAGACTCGCCGAGCATGACCCGCTTCATCTTTTTCGTGGCAGACTTGAGTGCGCTTCCTCGCTTGCTGGCCTTGTTGGTGCGTTCCCGAGACTTGATAATGGCTTGCACTTCCTTTTCGGCCGCTCGAATCTCCTCTTCGGGTACCCCAAACACGTTGGCCAGCATATTCTTACGGGTAATACTGGACAAGCGCCTCAGGAATTTGCGGGGTGGTCGATCGGCTTCGTATGTGTCCAGTGATTTGGATTCGTGTTCCACAAAGTCCCAACCAATGCTAATGGGAGGACCCACTTGGACATCGGGGTGATCTCCGACAACGCGGTTGTACTCGCGTATTTGGATGGATCCAAACGAAACAGACTTTTTGTTGCTGTGGAGAGCTTGATCAATTTCATCTACATCGACCGTCTTTATCAGAGGCTCTTCTGGAGTAGCAGTGATCTGAGAGTGTTCAGAGTCGCTCAAGAAGTCGGCTTGACGTTGGAGAGGAGGCATGGTGGATTGGTCTTTGTTGAATTGGTAGCTAGAAGATAAGAGTGCGAAAAGTAAGTATTGCACTTCGCCGAGAGAATGAAAAATTGTGAGTGTTGGCAAGCTGTTGCTGTGTTTTGTGTGCGGCTGGTGAGCACCGGGGCTTGTTTCCATTCTGACTAAGCATGGCCAAGGCGCAACGCCACACGAGCCGCACGACTTGAGCTGGAATCTGCTGGATTTTCCTCGGCAGCAATTTCTGGTACAAAATCCACGTACGGGAATGACGCAATGCGCAGGTCTGACACAAGCCGTCGGTCCCACCAGTGTAACAGAGGGCTTCTAAAGCATTCTCACGAGCCAATCCTCTCACATCCGGCCCTTTCTCAACGGAATTGATAATGACCGGATCCAGCGAATTTCAAAGGTGCGAAAGAATTCTATCTAAGTATCCTTCCAGCAAGGCGGTCAGTCGAAAGAAATGATAAGTGAAGGATTGTACAGTTCTCCTTTCCATTAATTCACTCTGCTACCAAGGTGGTCGAGTGTTACGGTCGTGGCATAATCGCTGAAGCTGGTCTTGTGAACGGAAAGACCGTTCAAAATATCTTTCATCATCTGCACTTCCGATCCACCCAGCACCCAGCACTCGACTTTCATTCCTCCCTTCACCCTTTACTCTCAGCACTCGACTCGACTGACTCCATGGAGCAAAGGTAACTCCCGCGACCCTGAAAGAAGCTGGTTCACGTGCCATCATCAGACGGGGCTCGACCCCACGCGGCTTTGCATCCAAAGGTTTCTTCGAGCCTGCACAAGAAACGTATCCGGTCTATACCAGCAAGTCAATCCGTTTCCAGGAAGCAAAGCTACTGGTAAGTACCAAAAGATCCTGCCTGTGAACTTTCATTCCTCCTTTGACTCGAGTATATACAGCCAGAATTACGAGGGGCGAGATGGCTGCCCCCGCCAACAAAAGCTCACAAGTCACCTCGGTTACGCACCTCCAGCGGAGCCGGTGGGTGCGGTATCTTTCCAAACTGTTTCTTCCAAGCTGCTCAAGAACTATGATACAGTCGTTCGCCACCGGTACCGGTATAGGTACTTGTACGTCAAGAACCTAAAAGTTGCATTGCCCCGTCGAAGGAAATCAAGGCCGCGCAAAACGTGGAAACTGCGTCATCGTGGGAGAGATAACAATGATACAGAACTATCAACAAACCTCAGTTTTTAAATGTCATCGCGCATACAAGCAACATAGATAAGGAGTTTGCTGGGAAGGACAAGACGGCAGCCATGCATAGTACCCTTCTGTAGTATCGTTCGTGTTTCATGCTGCTATACCGCTCTTGACATCGTTGCAGCACGGATTGGCCATTGGTGATGCTTCGGTTTGCTCTGTTCTAGATCAGTTTTGGGGACGGCCACGACGATCATATCCAGGTCGAGAACAGCCACGGAAAACTTGCATGGGTACTAGAAGTCCCGAATCAATGCCCACGTTTCTGGTACAAGTAGCTGGTCCAATCCACGACGATGACACTCGAAAATCAAGCAAGTTCGCTGGTCCAGATGATGATGGCACGCAGCAGTTCTTTGTTCATGACTGTCGAATCCCATTTTTGATGGGATCCTCGATGGGTGTACCAATTCATGTGGTGCCTCTGTGTCATAATATGCTTCGGACTGAATTGGTTCTCGATCATGACACCTCCAACCCGGTTCATTAGTGCTGGTTGGCTGGTTGTTTCTTGTTGCCTTGACAACTAACAAACAGTGGATTGGCTTGACTCGTCACTCTTTGGAGAAGAAGGACGACATGGCATACACTGATGGTGTATGCTAGCTGTGGAGTGAAGTAGCGAGTTGGGGTTGGATTGGGTTGGGTTGGGTTGGCCTGCATTTGAGTTCACGATCGTTTGGTGTGGGCGAGCCTTGGGTTTAAATTGCAAGTGGTCAAAGTGATACAACTGTGAATTTCAGCTACACGTACTGCACTAGCCAGATTCCAAACAAGAAAATATTGTACGTGCATTGGCTGTAGATTTTGTCTCTACCGGTACCGGTAGCTAGAAGATACTAGTAGGACACTCTCCAACCTCATTCAGAAGCAGCACCATGAAGGGAACAGGTTGGAGTACGTCGAGCCCAAGTCACGGTGGTCATTGATGAGGAAGACAGGAAACCAGAGCCCACGGCTTCGCTTCCATCAGCATCAAAGTCATTCGTGCTGCTACCGTACCGGCACAGGTAAAACCACCTTCGCAACTTCCTGCACCATGTTTGCCTTTAGGCCTTGGAATATTTTTCTTCATGTCTCATCTGTTCTGCTGCTGCGAATTGTGGCTTTTTTGATTTCCTCGAGTTTTTGCTGCATGCGTTGTTGGCGCCGCGTAGCCCTTGCCAACAGAAGCGCGTCATTCTTGAACGCCCTTAGTTCCAAAGCAGTACATTCGTCAATGCTCTTTTGAATCTCTTCCATGATGCTGTTGCGTCTGTTGGTGCCAGAGGATGCTGCTTGAATGCGTGCCATGTCTCTCCAGCACTGCCACCGTTGCCGCTCGGCCCTTCGGAGCATCATCTTGGTAGCCATGGATGGTGTGGAAGATGGACCAGCACCAGCAGCACCGTCAAATAATGATTGTTGACTCTGTTGTAGTTGCTGGACGACGTGAGCACATTCAGCAGGTCCCTTGACTTTGGTAAAGTGCTGTTCATCATTCCAATAGTACACATTGGGTCCCATGGTACAATTGTTGCGACAGCCACCGCGAACAATGCCAACTGTTTCGCTTGATGCAACCAGCGTCTCTTGCGCCAGTTCTTCCAGTTCCAACAGGACAGCACCCCCACCCGAACCAAAGCAATCAGGGCCTTGGCAAACTTCCAGTCGGTGCCTTGTTGTCATCTTCGAATGTATGAGCTGCTTACTATGTGGTTACAATGGACTATGTATGGAAGAGACGCGAGAATTTTGTGAGGTTGAGCAGCAGTGGCCACAGAAATCAAGGCTCGAGCACTGCTCGGGTGCACTGACGTTGGTTTTGCCTCGAGGATTTATACAGTCCCACATCAAGAGCGTCTCATTTTTTTACTTCAATTTGCTTGAACGTACATGTACCGGTAGGGGTACTTGTATTTACCATACGGTAGCATGCATTACTGGCCTCTCGCAAACCACGACAAAGTCCTCTCGAGGTCTCTCTCCATCCTCTCTACGGCCTAGTTGGTTGCTATTACGTATACTACTACTAGCCACCATTGACCAAGCATCGCCTGTATTTATTGTCTGTCATTGGTGAGCGCGGCAACGGACGGAATCATGCCCTTCTAACTACGTACCAAACACCCAAAGAGAGCTGGGTGTCTTAGCTATGATGATTGTTTCAGTTCACCCATACCCTCATGTACAGCACACTCTTGTACGTTTGCCTTGGTATATCTGCATGCGTTTTCGGATTCCCTCCACCCAAATATCTTGACGGAGGATGTGGACAAAGTGCTCAGTGTAGAATTGGTACCAGTACAGGACTCCGCCATCAAATCTGCCTTCACTGAAATAGCATCCATAAAGAGACCACCTTTCCAAGCAACTACCGTACCGTACCGTATCTTCCCTCAAGTGTTTAGACTGCAATTGCAACACGATCTTTTGATCTTTGGACACGATGTGATCACGCAAATAAATGTTACCACTTTGGGGTTATGGGTACCGGTACCAGGTACGATCTTTCCTAAACAAATGACCACCGCATCTTAGCCTTTTTCTGGATAAATGCAAGAACGCAACAACTGCAGCTCCAAACGATACTAGTACCGTATGGGATGGATGGATGCTGATCACCATACATGTACTTCGGCTCTATGGCTGCAACGTGAAGTGCAAAAGTTGTCTAGCTAGCTAGCATTTGATTGACCTAAAATACGATCTTTCCTAAATGACCGCCGCATCTTAGCCTTTTTCTGGATAAATAATGCAAGATCGCAACAACTGCAGCTCCAAACGATATGGGATGCTGATCTCACAATACATGTACTTTGGCTCCTTGGCTGCAACGTGAAGTGCAAAAGTTTTTTAGCATTGGATTGACCTAAACAACTTCAACGATGAATTACATTGTTCCTTTGGCGATCTTCTTGGGAAGCTGCTCCGTCTCTGCTCACTATGGAGTTCTAACGCTGGACGAAGAAACGCTTGAAAGGTTCTTCAAGTGCATTGATTCCATTGAATCTGCGGATAAAGATGGCAACAATCGAATCTCAGAGGCTGAAACACCCGTCTTCCTTGACACATACAGCAAAAAGCTCTACGGTGAATCCGTCCTTGTCGTTGGGGGATCACCCCCAGAAAACATGGCGTCCTCGTTGTTCAGTGATCTTGTGAAAGTGAGCAAGCCTCTCGAAGGCGTGACAGAGATTGACGTATACGGATACAAGCTCTCGGATGTATGTTGCTTCTGCTGGCAATTTCGCTCTGGTTATTCTGCTACATTCTGAGCTCACACCCTTCTTTGTCCTTCCTTCCCCTCTTGCTGTTCTTTCTACAGATGCCTATTGTTACTGATCAACGACTTCAATCGTTGCATGCTGTGTGTCAAAAAGCTGCACATGGTTAGTTTCCTCGCAGTGGATAATCAAGGAGGGGAACACATGTGCTTGGTTTGCTTCTTGCTCATCTCATTGTTGCGTTTTCAGCTATCATGAAGCATGGTCATCAGACCGAGCCAGTAAGTAGAGCGAAGTATGCCGTAGCCCACAAGTATCTGATTTGACCTTTGCTTTTACTACTTACGCTTGTGTTCAGCCCCAACTCTTTAGATTGGACGAGTACTTGAAAGAAGAGGAGGAGGAGGAAGAAGCAGAAGAAAGAAATGGCGGTAGGATCTGAGCACGAGGGTTGTAATGTTGGTGACCCAACGGCGAAAGAAGTTTCAGTCCCCTGTGCCAGCCAGCGAGAAAGCAGCCAAACCGTAGCTATTATGACTGGAGCGGAGATATATTCGTTAGAATGTGCCCGCCCCAAACACCAAGAGAACTTGTTGTAATACTTAAGCACCCTACATGTAGTAAGATTGACCCATTTGGTTTCCTTGCCAGGCCTCGTTGGGCGTTCTGGTCGATCGTTCCTTCTTGGAATTGGTGCGTCCTCAAAATAGGCCACAGTGTGTTGCTTCCTTTTTTGTGGCCGGTCAACGACTTTGAGTGCCCTTGACTGTTACTTGTTGATTTAGCTTGACCCGGGTTCCATTCTGTGGTATCATGCATGAGGAGAGAAGGTACCTTCCCTCTTTGGACTTGGCTGAGGTTACATCTCTGAAGCAAGAGATTTCATGAGATTTTCATAGGGAAACGGTGCCTGTATTGCTGATATGACCTAGCTACGATAGCTTAGCTAGCTGATAGCAAATCAACTACCAGCTACTACCAGGGGTGCCAATGCTTTGGCTCCAACAATGATATCCAAAACAAATCCACGAAGTCCAGTTTCAGACGCAAAACAAAATTTGGTCCGATTGTATTTTAACCGTAGTTAGCTGCATTATTGTCAGCGGAAATGACTACGTGGCCGAGTGGTTAAGGCGATGGATTGCTAATCCATTGCTCTTTGAGCGCGAAGGTTCGAATCCTTCCGTAGTCGATCCAACCTTTTTGTTTGCTTTGTCTTACCTCTGGAGATGCAACAAATGATCATCTGATTTCTTTTACTAGTCTACTAGTTAGGCACTAGCTACACTGGTCAGTAGCTGGCTAGTCTGCTTGGAGTTCACGCGCTGTTCGAATCATGCTGTAGTCGATCGAACCTTTTTGTTTGCTTTGTGTTTACCTCTGGAGATGCAACAAATGATTATCCCATCTCTTTTAGCTAGCTAGTAGGCACTACTGTAACACCAATGGTCTGCTTGTTCTACCTTGATCCCCCCAACCTGGTGGGGACAAGCCAGCAGGCCAGTAGGAAGTGCTGGATCTACAGCTGCAAACTGCCACTGAGAGAGTCAGGTGGGCTCAGGAGCAGGCTGGCGACCATCATCCTAGAGGAGTGGGGTTGATTTGGCAATGTGTCACTCTGGGACTGTAAAGGCTTGGAGGGCGCGAGTCACATATCAACAATACTCACCATTGGAGATGGATTGAAAAAGACCATACTGTAGCATGTTCGAATCATGCCAAAGTTCATCAAACCTTTTTGTCTATCTGCAACTTATGGTCAGAGTCTGATGGAACTGCTTTGTCTTCTACTTGATTGTGAAGCTTTTGCTATGAATGGAGCTGAAAAAACACCATACTCCTTTCCTTGGGACCCATTTTGCTTCAATGAATGATTCTTGTTTGCCATGCACCGGACCAGCTCAAAGCCAAGATGAGTATCCATTTGAAGGCTTCCATAGCGCCCTTCTTGTCCTTGCACCTATGCACATCCAACCACTGCCTTCCTGCCTTTGTCAGTGCCTCAAACACAAAGTGATAGATTGCTACTATCTAGTGTCACCACTGCATGCATGTCTCGTCTCTGAACTAGAAAGACTGTCACTCACTTTGTAGTTTGCTTTATGGCTGATGGATTAGCTGTGCGTACTGTACGATACGGTAGGAGTCTGCTACGGTTCCCGTACCGTAGCGTACAACGTGATCCAATCTATGTATGTACATGTATGTGTTGCTACTAGCTAGATTGCTTTGGTTGGTTGGTTGGTTCGTTCGTTCGTTCGTTCGTTCGTATCCAACAGGAAAGTAGTGGATTGCGTTGTTGATCGGTTGGATATGGCATTGTTCGTTACGGTACAATATAAAATTGAAAACAACTCACCCCTTTTTGGTATACCGCACTTGATAGAATCTAGTATCAATGGGCCGTCCTCTGGCCGCTTCCCACATTTTGTAGGCAATGGGGGATGTTTGCGACGGCAGTAGGAATGTGGCCGACCGTTGTTGACAGGTAATCTCGTTCTTGGAGGGATTGTACGTATACAGCGACGTGGTTTCGATTTCTTTTAAAATGGGATTGTTGTTGTTGTTGTTGTTGTTGTTGGATTGTGGTTGTTGTTGCGGTGGTGCATTGTTATTGTTGACGGGAGCAACAATTTCCCGTGTGACTTCACTGCAATCAAACTGGAGATCCGAAATGGTTTCTTGTCGTCGATTGAGCGCAATGAGATCGACTTGTAACATGCGTGGTGATCCCTTGGGAAGCAAGACGCATGTCAATTTGTTGGGTGTAGCAACGGGAATGTCCATGACACTGAATTCTCCCATGGCAGCCTTGGCAATCGACTGTACATTGTAGTATCGATCGGCCACAATTGCACCAGTACTGGTAGTAGTAGAAATGAACCTGGCATCGTATTGTAGCGTGGTTCCAATTTCGTTCTTGGCTCGTTCCAATGTGGCATTTCCTCCAAAGAGTGCCGCGCCACAGGGTGCTTGCACGTCTGTGGTTCGAGAGGAGATTTGCCAGGTTCCTTGAAACCAGCTGGGATAAATGATGTCTGGTACTTCCATGCCATAGGGCGGTGGACTCAGTACGTTTTCCGTGACGCGTGCTTCCAACAATCCCACAGCCAGTTGCGACGATTCGGCTTGTTGAAAGGAAAAGGGACTGTCCGTGGCGGCCCAGGAAAACTCTGGTGTGGAAGATAGTACTGGTAGTAGTATCAGCTTGGACAACGCGTCTCTTCGACTGCTGCATTCGGTCTCATCTGGTATGATGTGCTTGGAGGTTTCCAATCTGCCGAACATGGCTCGAATATAACCATCGTTGGTTTTTATTTGGTGGAAATTAGACTGAAAATGGAAGGAAGATGCCACCTGAGAGAAGGCGAGGAGCAAGAATGAAAGGACACTACTAGAACTTGAAACAGATGCCATCCTTGCCATTGTTTGTGACTGCTTCAGTCTCTTGATCTTCTTGTGTCCAACAGTGTTTTTGAGATGATGAGCTCGAGGAAGAGCAAAGATCCGAGCAAAGATCTTTCTCTCAAAGATCCACCTCTGACTCAGTGTTGGATCCTGGACTCGTTAGTCCTGAGTGTCACGAGGCGAGCTCAGGCAAGCCTCAAAATAATAAATCCGTTGCGGTGCGCCCAAAGAAAGAACGGACGGAACCCCTCGAAAACACAACAACACCTCCATTTCAGCTGCTTGCTAGCTAGCTAGAGATAGATAGATCATGTCACGATGGCGTCCAGTAGTATGGACCACCACCACCACCACCACATTCACATGGACAAACGTCTCCCTGTTCTGTTTGCTCTTGCCATCTTGACGTTGCTATGGAACGGTTGTTTCATAGACACGGTCATGCAAACCACGAGAAAAATGGAGTCCAAAGAAGACATTTCATTTTCTCCTCTTTCTCCGTCTTCATCAGCAGCAATAGCAGCAATACAGGATGTTGATGACTCCATAATAAAACAACCAGCTGATGCTAGAATAAAGACAGTAGTGCCGCCACCTGCCATAAAACCAATGATGAAACTTCAGCCTCGAGTTTATCCACGACGATCGCGAGACACATTCCCTTGCTTTCTAGACGACAACAGCAACAGCAGTAAGAGTCATGAATGGCGGAATCCACCTCCAGCAGCAGCACCAGTGCAAGAAGGATTCTTCTTTCTCAAAACACACAAAACAGGATCCTCCACCAGTGCAGGAGTTCACATTCGCATTGCAAGAAACATGGCCACATACCAAACACAAAGATGGAACAAGACTACAACAACCGCTCCATCTTCATTTTCCACAACCTCCTTTTGTCGTGCTCAATTCGATCACTCGACGGCACGCAAAATGAACTATGGTCAACGATCCAAGAGTCGTTCCTTCTTGTGGACCATTCTGCGAGAACCCAATCAACGGGCCAAAAGTCACTTTTTTCATTTTGGTGTCTCAAGACGAAATATCCCACCTGACCAGTATCGTGACTTCCTCTTGAACAAGAACCACAAAAAGAAAAGTACAAATAATAATGACAAGGGATACTATGTCAAAATGTTGTCCACGTCGTCGTCATTGTCATCGGAACAAGACGAAACCAACAACAACACTACCACAATGATTGCCATTCTGCAAGACATTTTGGATTCCTACGACTTTATTGCCATTACGGAACGAATGGAGGAGTCCATTGTCGCATTGCAGATGATACTGGGACTATCCACCGCCGATGTACTCTACCTGAGCGCCAAGAGTAGTGGGGGCTATGATGCCGGCGGAGGATTCGGTGGAAAATGCATCTTGATTCAGAAACCACACAAGGAATCTCTTGCAAAAGTGGAACAATTCATGAGGGAATCCCCCGAGTGGAAGGCACACGTCCAATGGGATCAACTGCTCTATCAAGCTGCCAATCAAAGTTTGGATCGTACCATTCATGCCTTCGATCAGGACGAGTTTCGCACCCACCTGGCGCTCTTTCGACACGCCCAACAAGTCGCCCAGGAGCAATGCCTACCGCATGTCCGATTGCCCTGTTCCAAAGATCGAGAAGCCATGGCACCACTACCCGATGCCAAAACGGACTGTCTCTGGAAAGATTCCGCCTGTGGGACGGCGTGTCTGGATCAAGTGGCCAACCAGTTGGGGCTCTGGGCTCACACAAATCGGACTACCACTACTGCTATCGTATGATGAAAAGGAGCCATTGACCAGAGTTTTGCCAGGGCGATCACACACGCGACACAATCATATTGGATGTTGGATTGCAAGCTAAGCATGCAAACATTTGACTTGCAGGTTCATCGCCTGGCCCCCACGCCTGTCGCCACATACATGAGAGGAGAGGAATACATGTACGGTAGATCGGATCAAGATCACAATTTCCGTGTGCGTCTCTCCGGTAACGATGTTGCTGCATTCCTTGCATCCAGCCGGTGGAAGCAAACGTGCGACTGCACCAAAGTGGGAGTAGGACAGGGTTGGACGCGGACGGGCTTCTTTGCTGTTGACTGACGATGCCATTTCGATCCAAGGCATGCTCCCCTTTGTTGGTGTTGGACAGTATGCTTTTGCGGGGGCTGTCAACAAGAAGATGAATCAACTGTACAAAAGAGTACTGCAATAGTAGAAAGTAGGTAGTAATGTGATATCTAGTAGTCTTTGGTTGTTTGCTTTGTCTTTATTAGTTCAGGTTGGCTCAGATTGTGAGCTGATTATGCTATCTACTTTTGCTCCTTGGGG